AAATTAATAGAAACTTAAATAAACTATAAACAGACAGCTTATTTATAACTCTTCAATTTCATTTTGCATTTGCTTTATCACCCAACTGACAGGAGTTATGTGTGTGTGTGGGAGCAATAAATTTTGTTAAAATTCGCAAATTTTTTTTTTTTTTTTGCTACTGCGACTGCCTTTCTGCTTCTGCTTTTCAAACCTTGTTTTACTATTTGTACAAATATTTTGTTACATCTTCTCGTTAATGCACACCAATTTGCTAACTATAAATAGTTTTTCTTTCATTGACTTTTTTTTCTTTCTACAAATAACATTTAAACAATTTAACATTTTTGTTCATTCAACATTTAAAAACATTAATACTTTCGCTTTCTCATTTTAACTTTTCAACAGTACTACGGCCATATTTGCATATCCACATACACAAAAAAAAATGAGCGCTAACGAAAGAGTTCATCACACTGTGTTGACATATATGCAATGAATGAGTTGCCACATCGACCAAATGCATGTTTCAAAAATTTTTATTTTCTTTACTTTCAAAGCAAATAGAAATTACCTCAGTTTGTAATTATTATAATTTATTTTACTTTTTTCAAATGGCACTAATTTAATTTAATTGTTTATATTAAAATAGTTTATTGTTCTTTTTCGAAGACAGCGAATTTCATGCATAATTTAGACAAAATATCGTGTTGCCACTGTCAGTCAGTATTTGAAACATGAAAGTACATAAAACATTAACGTTAAAATAATATAACAGCACATCGTCAACGTTAGAATTTAGTGTTCAAATCTCAATGTTGCTGCTACTAAGCCAATCAATCACTAATTCTAGACGCACTTGGAAGTAATTTAATTTGAGTTATGCAAATTTTATCTAAAAATGTTTGCATGTATGTTTGTGTATATGCATGCGCTTAATATTTTATTTTATTTTTTTGAACCTTTCAACATTTTTTATTTTGCAAATTTATTCTACTAACTTTTAATTTCGCATAACAAGTTAAAGCATTCGTTTTTTTGTTTGTAATTTTGTAGCGTTTTTATGTGTACGTATGTATGTGAGAGGATTTTTGAAGTTTTTCTTAACGCTTAAAATTCTATTGTTGGTGCTTTGTTCTTACACTGAGAGCAATCGGATTACTCTTCGAAAAAACGATATTTTACAAAATTAATTATAATAAGAAAAGCTACAGTTAGTCACACCAATGAGTAAGTTTTTGAGTTGTGAGTTGAATATAATTGCTGGAGTTGTAAAGTAGTTAGAAAGAAGTAATAAAAAAAAATAAAAAAATAAAAAGAGTTCTGTGAATGAAGCTAAAAATGATAAAACTAGTCTTGGCCATTACGAGCATATCATCTTAATTATTGTAAAGAAATTTCTCTAGGTAAAGATGCCCTTATGAATAACTGCGCAAACAGCAATGAAGCAGATCCTGGTGGTACATATGTACTGAATGTGAAGGTTTCCCGCAAGACCCTAACCACCACTGCGCCCCTTCTTACATCGTCAAAACACCACGTTTCCTGGGCCGCGGTTAAAGTTGATGACAAAGATTGCAAGATTTGTTGATCTAAACAAATCGAACAATTAGCCAAGATTTTTCTCGATTAAGGCGCTAATAGAGCTCGATTTACCATACAAAATTTCCGTTCTTAATTGCTCGATTAGTGCTTAATCGAGTGCTATTTGAATGGGTTTTTAGTGCAACCCTGCTGGATATGTTTAATATTGAATTTGAGATATGTTTAATGAACAAATATCAATCAGCTGTTTGTCTCTGCTCCTCTTTTACAGCTGATATTCCATAAGGGATGGAAATTGAATTTTCAAATTATATCTAGTTTTCGGAAAAACTTAGTAAATAAATGTACCTAAAATGTCAATATATATTTTTATATGTATGTATATTAAAAAAAAAAGAGTTCAACCATTCCCTTCTATACTATATCAACTTCAGGACTCATATTAAAAAATTAAGCTATGAAAAGAATATCTTCTGAGCAGTTCGGGACTAAACCGCGTGACGCTAATCGAGCAGCTGATTGTGTGTGAACTCCAAAAAGCGGCAGCTCAATTAAAAGGTTAATTGACTCAATTAAATTTCTGTCTGAACTTAATATGAGGGCGGTTGGTGCTTAGAAATTTAACTTTGGCACAGTGTGTGTGTGCTTCACTACTTGAAAAGTGGTTATAATATTGGTTAATTGTAGTTATAATAACAAGGAGGGCTTTTTGCAAAAGTTTGCCTGCAGCTATTAGTTTTTATAATGTATAGAAATGCTCAATTCGCTTTGAAATAAATCAAACTTAAAATTTTTTTTTAAATGTGTGTTTGAAAATATGTATAGAACTTTTAAGACGCAAAAGTTAGTTCCCCTATACTGAATGATTAATCTATAAAACTGAAGCACCAAATTATTTTTATCAAAAAATTTTTTTTTTTGAAAAGATATTTTTTTGTAAAATTAAATTTCAATCCATTGGATAGTTTTAAGAGCGTAGGAAAATTAATTTCGAAATCACGAAAGAAATATTTTTGATTTGCTCTGCTACTTCTTTTCTGCTAAAGCTATGTTTTTTTTTTGTAATTTGAACAGTTGTTATACATATAACTTCATATATTTATGTATGTGTCAACATGTTTATTTATTAATTATAACAATATAAATACTATTTGTGATCACTATTAAATATATGTATGTAAATCACTAATAACTACAAACACCAATAACTCGAATACTTATTTTTTTTATTTTATTGAATAATTGGAAGTAAAGAAAATGGGTTTTGTTTGAGATATGGAGGAAAGAGGAAAAGATGTAAGTATGTATGTTTCACAAAAACTGGCACAGCTTAATGAGGGCTTCGAGTATTTTGAAGCTTTATCAAGCTTTTTTCAATTTAGAGAACTATCGCTTTTAAGAAAGAGGTTTGTGATTCAAGCCTCGGCGAAATTCCGCAAAATATCACGAAGATAGGGCTTAAGGTCGTACGAGGGTGTATAAATAGGAAGCAATGTATGCATATTTTTAGTAGAAAAATGTAGAAAATATATGTAGGTATTAGTAGTTGCTTATAGGTGAATACTAGTAAGATAAAAAAATGTAAAAAGTAATTTTCAAAATAGCTGCGAATTGAAAGGTTTTTGTTTGGGTTACAAAACGACAGTCATAGTTTCTCTCCAAAAGTGGTAAGTAGTAGGAAATTATAAAAGCGCATATTCTTTTATCAGCAATAAAAGCTATATCGCTTACTTCCTTTTCTCTTATTTTTTTGTTTAAAAATGTGTAAGAGTATTAATTTTTATTTTTTTGTTTAATTTCGTTTGATTTTAAACACACATGTTTGTAGGCATTTAACGTATATTTTTACTTTGTTATTAGAGTTATAAAAGTACAAAAAGATAGAAGAGTCACAGAGTTTGGAAAATGCTTTAACTACGCACAGAAATTTAAAGAAGTACATTTGATGAGTTAGTTTTTCGCAACAAAAAGACATTTTTTTTTCAAAATACAAATACTACGACTTTTTGGTGAAAAGAGAAAGCAAGATTTTAAGTAAGGTCTACGAAAATATGAGTTGAACATACTATATATGTGTTATGTGATGAAATAATCAATTACTTATTAAACACATTTATTTTTTAATTTAAATATTTAATTAAAAGATCATAAAGTAAACAAATTTGTAATAAAAACTAAAATTTAATACAGTTACAGATAAGCAAACGTTTTAAAAACTACTGATGTTAAATTTTTTTATAATTAAAAAAAAAAATTATTTTTAAATTTTCAATTACAAAATGTAAATAAAAATTCTATAATAAAAAATTTTAAAACTTTAAATGAAAAACAAAAACAATAATAAAATTAAAAAAATTAAGAAATTTTTAAATTTAAAATATTTTCCTATACAATTTTGTAAGTTTTTAAATTTAAAATATTTTTAATAAAATTTTCTTTGCTTTAAAGCCCTAGATTTAAGAATTAAAAATTGTAATTTAACTAAAATTTTAATATATAAATTAATAATAATTTGAACAAAGCTTTTAAATGAGTTTTAAATTTTTAAGTTTTTAAGTTTGAGTGTTTTCAAAAATTTATTTTTGTGCGTTAGATTTTAAAACTTCAAAGCAAAAGATTTTTAATTACAATCAAAATTAAAAAAAAAAATGATTAGAAACAGAAATTTTACATGTGTTTGAAGTTTCTAAAGTTTTTTTTTTTTTAATTCAGATTTTAAATTTTTAAAACCTCAGACCTTAAAATTTAAAAATAAAAACTTGTTACATAAAAATTAAGTTCTTGAGAAAATGAATTAAAAAAGTTTTAAACAATTCGTTTAAATATGTAAGTTTTTTATTATCTAAAATTTACTTAACATATGCGAATTTAAAAAGTGTTTATAAATCTTGATTCTTTTTCTTGGCTTGGTTAAAAAATTAGATTGAATGAAAATTTTTAAACAAAGAACTAAAAGAAGTTGGATATTTTTATTTTTTTTATTTTTAAATTTTGCAGATATTAAAACCTTAGATTCCACGAAAAAAAATTAAACTGAAGTCTTGAATTTAACGACAAATTAGTAAATTTAAGTAAATTTCAAAATTAAATCTAATTTTTTTAAATCAAATTCTAAATTTTATGTCACCTTAAATTTAAGATGAAACTTGAATAAATCTAAAATTTCAAAACAAAAAATTTAAATGAAGACATAAGGTGAATTTAAAAATTAAATTTGTTAAATTAAAATTAAACTTTAAAAATTTATCATTCCAAACTCTTACAGCCAATTTCTCGAGAGCAATTTAAGAATGATTTTAATTTTTTGAATGTAACTAAGTAAAACTTAAAATTTTAAGACAAAATATTTTGAACAAAATTTTTAAGTACCGAACCAAAGTATTTACTTTGTAAAAATTATATGTAAGTGGGAAATTACTATTTACTTAAGAAGCTATTCTAAAAAATGAAAGCAAAAACAATACAAAAGATTGAAAGGAAATTAGAAGTGTTTATTTGCGACTACTGATTCTTCAACTTCCTGCGTAGTTGCCTACTTCCTCGCTTTAAATTCTTTTTTAATACACGGTTTTCTTAAATACTTTATATTTCAATACTAGTTTTTCCTTGACAAAGAAGCTTTATTTGTTTCGGTAAAGAAGCTTTACGCAAACAAAGCTACGATTGGCTTTCACTTTTGCGCTTAAAAACTTTCTCACGTTCACACATAATAAGTCTTCCGTGCCTTACGTGCCGCCAGAGCTTTACGAAATTAAAGCTCTTCACTAAGGTGTGCATGCACGGACAAGGGAATTTCAGTGTATAGCCAACGTAAAAATACGCTCATAAAATAAATCTTAATTATTCTTGAGTTGCTAAGCTATTTTGTTGAGGATTTTATACCGGAGTTTTGGGTAATTTCCGTCTGGTCGGCGATGCCGGTGATTTGTCTGTTGTTGTTTCAGGGTCTGCAGTTGTTGTTGTTGTTATTGTTGCATGTGTTTATTGAAGACGTTTAAGTGTTATTTGTTTGATTTTGTAGCGTATTTATTTGTGTTAAAATGAAATTGGTAATAAAACATAAAATTTATGTGGTAATTGTGTTTGTATATAAAAACGCAGATTGTTGATAAATAAAAGAAGAAAAAGAAAAAAGAGAAAAAATTTTGTTATAAACATTAAATTGTATAAAATTCGTATTTTTTTTAATAAATATTTGTGCGCTTTTACTGCACGAATTGAGTGAAAGCTCAAATTAAAAAGCTCCTGGCTTATACATATAAATATATAAAAATTTGGCACTTCTGCAACTTACCCGCAATTAAGCCCAGTCCAACTGGACCGTCGCCAGAACGTCGCGGACCACTTTGATTGCCGCTATTGCCCGGTGGTAGATTTTCATCGAATAGATCACACATGCGAAAGTCGGTGGCGTGTTCGACAAGCAGCTCGACTATGTCGCCAGTGCGATCCATAATGGAGCAGACTTCTTCGAAGCTGCGATCGATCAGCGACATGCCATTCCACTCGAGTATCTGTAAAAAAAATGATCGGACAGTGGAAGAAACAGATGAAAAATATGCAAGAAATTTATATGCTGTTGGGAAAGTACTGATATGGTAGATATATAACATTTCAGTGAATGCGACTATTTGTGAGTGCAGCTCAACTAGTCCTCCGCTATGAAAATGGTCAAGCTATGCATCATCACCAATCAGTCGAAATACATCATATCACCAAGAACCACAAGTGGCGGGTTTTTTCATAAAAGGGCGACAGCTCTATATGTACAGTGGTGGAAAATAGCAGCGCGACATTTAAAAAAAAGTTTGCCTATTTTTCGTTTGTACATTTAGTGTCGTTTTCTCAAGTAGGTTTTAAAATTTATCTGCCCTTAAAACACATTTTTCCAGAACAAAATTTGTGTTTATTATTATTATTATAATTTTTGTAATAAAATTATAACTCAATATCTAAAAAAAAACATATAAATTCATACTTCAAACTTGGTGCAAAAATTATAAAAATTTTGCGAAATTGCATCTAAATTTTCAACTTTTTATTTTTAATATTTTTATTGAGCTTTGTACCACGATTGTTTATTAGGAAAAATTGAAAAAGCAACAAAGTCTAAGCGGTAGAAGTTATAGCACTATTTCGGAGATCACCACATCTCCTCATCAGACTTCTTTTTCTAGACTTCAGCAGGGATCGAACCTGCGAATTCGATGTTCAAAGTCAGAAGCGTTAACCACTGAGCTATGTACATCCCGTAAACTCTTGTTGCTAATTCATTTTCCTTATTCAACCAACTACTATCAAGTGCAGCTGATTTGCCGCTATTTAAACTCGACAGCGTGGTTGTTGTTGTCAATTCTATACATCCATTTGCTTATTTGCTTTTTTGTATAGTTTCAGGCAGGCTCTTCCTAAACTATGTATTTGTCAATGTTATTGTGGCTTTCAACTTTTTATTTAGATTTTTATTTTTTTTAAATTCTAGTACAATAATAAAGTGCAAGTTGGAAGTTGGCGAAAAATCTCGTTAATTTTTGGCAATTTTTTAACGCTTCTTCTTCCATACAATGTATGTATTTTTGTATGGGATAGACACTATTTCCCTACAGTCCGAAAAAAAATAACGCAATTGTACTAGAATTCAATCGGCCATAAATCTACATACTCAAATAAATTAAGAAAAAGCAATAAATAAAAAATGAAAATTAAAATTATGCTTCCTGCGAAAGCTTTAATATGGTAAGCTTTAAGCTTCTTTTTGTTTTTAGGTTGATTTGCATCAAAAACACCTCCACCATAGGATTTTTAATCGTTGGAAATGGTGGAAGACAAAAGATACCCTGGAATTTCTTAAATAAAAGAATTAAGTACGTTTCTATGTTTTTTTTTTTAGTGAAAACACTCGTCTCAGAAGAGTCTTGGGAATTCAGTGCAACTGTACTTTTAACGTATAGAGAAATGTAGCTTGAAAATCTTTGCGTAACTGTGTAAAAGTAGGCCTAACCACAACTGTAATTATTTCACAGCTGATTGAGTATTCTTTGAGCTTTCACAATAATAATGAACCATTAAGTAATTAGCTGCCAGAATATAAAATAGCAGCAGCCTAAAAGTTGCTTTAACGTACCCATGAATCGGTTTAATGTCTTAGTTTTCCAAACTTAGTGTGCGCTGAGCATGAGTATAGAAACTTACCAGTAGATTGTGCATTTAAACTTTGATTTCATAAGCTTACTGCGAATTGCATATAAGCACTAATTGGCAAGCAAAATAGCAAACTTGCTAAAACTTTGGAGTATTGCATACCTTAGGGCGCTGTTCAAACGAGTACCGGTGCTTTGGTAAGCAAATAGTCATTGCATGCGAATCTTTGATTTTATGACTTCACTGAAAAATCCTAAAGCACGGTTTCCATTAAACAAACCGCATATTCCAGCAGCATTTATTATTTTATTTGGGCTTACGTAATATTTTCTACTTCAACCTTTCAATGAAGACGAATTGCATTGAGTGCATAACAGCATCGCTTCTTAGCTTCCAGTAAGCTACAAGTGGCACATAAATATCAATCAAGCTTTATTGTTATGCATAAAAAAAATGTAAGGCAATGAGCTCTGCAACGCATGCAAGGACAACAACGCTTAGGAGTCAAGTTAGTGAGAGTATTAAAAATGGGATCGTAAAGAATTATGACCACTTAAAATCCACTACTAAAAAAAGGAAATCCGCCAAGATACGATTTGAAGGGGAAGAGAATGAATGAATAAATAAAAAATGGGATAGTTATGCGAAGAAGATTGAAAGCTTCAGAGCTTAAAAGCAGCTATGAGTAGTTTAGTAAAAATCAACAGATGTTGCAGGTTTTTATGGGCGGATATGTAGCATGAAAAAAAAACGCTTTTTTTTGCTAGGTAAATGAAATGTTAAAAAACAATTTAAATACAAAAGAGCGATAAACTGGATAATTGTTGCCCCAAAGGCATCAAATAATTGCGTAAAAGTGGAAAGTAGAATACTCGCAAAATAAGAGTAATTTGTTGTGAAATTCAATTAACGTTTTTTATGCACTCCCCAGCCGGCAGTGAAAGGCGTTAATGACGTGACGATTTCATGTATATATCTATGTGGAAGATATGCAGGCGTAAAGTATTAAATTGCATGTCGTAGCACTGCCTAGCTACCTACCTGTGCATCGTGTGCAAAAAAGCATAAAAATTCCAAGCATAGCTACAGGCTTTTCTTGAAAATAAGATTATGCGCCGTTGTCTTTGGCGCTTCACTTTATATTTATAAGCTGCCAATGCGTTGGTGACACAAACAAGCTAAATGAATTACCTTATCGCCTTGCTGTAGTCCATTCTTTTCCGCCGGTCCACCGGGCACCGTCCACACAATGTAGGCGAATAGGCGGCCATCCGCACCAGTTTTGCCGCCAACAACGCGCATGCCAAAGCCACGTGCTGTGAAAACAATAAAGCAAAAGGAAACAAGTTATGCATCGAACGCCTTTAAAGGATGGAAATTGTTATGCTGGTTCAAAGAGAATTGACGTCTAATAAAAATTGCTGTACTTTTTATGCGGGCTGTTTGAACATGTGATGCTCTTAGTAAAATGTAAAATTTGGCGTATCATCGTAAGAAATGTTCGATATTCGATGTTCGGTATTTTCGAATAAAAAAATATGTAAATTGCGAAATTTGCATGGTACATTTTGAGTCGACCATATGTTACTTTTGTTGTTCAGTTATTGTCAAGATATTAAATGATACTTAATTTTTCCAGTTTTTGAGACTTTTTTCGAAATTTAACAAAAATTTCATGATTTTTTTTTTGCATTTTCATTGCTAATTTCAGATTTTGTTAGTGATTTTCGCTATCTTTTTTTGGGATTTCTATACTTTTCCTGTTTTTTTCAGATGAAGTTTTAAAATTATTTGGATACCTTTTTGGGGCCAGATGGTTTTTTTCAGTAACTTTTGGCAATGTTTCGAACCATTTTTGGTCCCTTAAAGATTTTTAGTGGCATTTTATGCTTTATACCGCACTTTAGAAATTTTTGTGGGAGTTGGCAAGTTAAATGGCGTAATTTGAAGATTTCTTGGAAACCTTTTAGATCTATAATTTATTTTTTCGAGAATTTCCTGCAACCTTTAATAACTTTTCGATATTTTTATTTTTTTTCTGTGCGGGTATAGCGCGATGGTTCTTCCAGTAGCTTTTGGCCTCGGTATTTTTCGAGACATTTCAGCAATCTTTGAGGAGTTTTCGATAATTTTCCGGCAATTTTTCAAAACTGTTTGGAATTTTCTCAATATTTTTTGATATTTTCTCGGAATTTTATTCAAGACCTTTTGGAGTTTTTCGAAAACATTTAGGATATTTCGGGATATTACAGATTTTTTACGGGTTCGATTTGGGGTCCTTGGAAATTTTTCGTGACTTTTTTAAAAAAATTAAAAAGCGGGATTTTTCGGGAACATGTAACCCTTCTTTGGTATTTTTCTGTATTCTTTAAGTATTTTAGGATATATATAGTTTTTTTTTTTTGGAACGGCGTAAGAGTTTTCTGTATATTGCGAAATTTTTCC